GTACTGGTACTGGTGGTACTGGTACTGGTACTGCTAACACCATGCACTATATTTCATATTTCTTTGGCCGTTTATTAAGCCGTTTGGCTGACCCTACTAAAAGTTACAGTTATTGTATTACATTCTATATAAACCTGTTGTCTTAGAAGGTGAAAGTACTGTGCTGGTGTTGTGGGGTTCACAATATGCATATTGACATTATCACCATCCATAGCGTCCTCCTTACTATCAGTCAACTGAAACAAGAAACCAACCACCAATCAAACATAGAATAAAAATATACGTTTGAAGCCGAGACTCGACAGCATCTTGCCACTAAAAGGCTTCCAACCACCCAAAGGAAGGACTAAGAATAGTTACAGACTATAGAGCGTTCGCGCTTACGTAAGAAGGCAGCCATATTGTTGTAACAAACACTAGAAACTTTCTGCACAGTTTTTGCAAAAAATAGAGTTCAATTCCCGGAAGATAGAAAATGTATTGTTTTGGTACACCAACATGGCCGCTGTGACGTCACGTGAAAACGCTCTATATAGAATTAACACTCTGGCAGAACGAAATCTACATCATTATAGACATTTCATTAAGGACGTTCGTGGGCAATTTATGAAGCTATCAATGTTCTGATCTTGGCACACAGTTACTTCATCATGTAAGCCTCCCAAAGCTGAAAAAAATTGGGCCGCCATCTTTAAATTTTGGGCTACAATACGAGCAAAATCGAATTTTTTAAAGAAAGCAAACATTGACACAAAACATTTGCGAACCTGTAAAAATCTTTCGATACGACAAGAAGAGTGTTCTGGACCAGCACCATCATATCCATGAGGTAACAGCATAACCAGTCCACTTTGCATCAGCCATTTAGCTGAAAATTGAAACAGTATAAATAGCACTTTTATAATAATTCAAGCTTAAACTATTTTATCCGCTAAGTTTTGCAACGATGTATGAAATGATAGCTTTCATAGCTTCTACAAGCGTTAGGTTCCCGTGACTAGACGTAGGTTCTCCGAGGATTACAATTTGTGAAGGCTTCCAGGCATCTGAGCATGCTTAGCTTATGGTGGCTCCAAAAAGAGGTCGAAAATAACAGCGTGCAAGTGCCAAAGTGATTGCGCAAGTAATGACGTAATATCGAGGAGCAAACTGATATTCTAATGAGTAATAAGCTAATAGACCAGTTTCGAGTTCCAAATTACCGCTGTGTTCTTTAATTACAGACTCATTTGCTCTGGGTTAGCCTCGTATCAGTGTTTAAATATTTACAAATACCAACGGAAAAGTAAAGAATGCACAACTTCAACAATACAAACATTTTGAAACTCGACGGACCTTGACTGGAACACGTGAATATTCTGCACAAACTCGAGGCTAACCCTGTGCAAATGAGTCTGTAATCAAAAAAACACAGCGGTAATTTGGAATTCGAGGGGGGTCTATTTCAAGAATAAATTTATCTATCAGTAGTTTCTATTAAGGTTCTGAAAACTCACTTTCCCCAGACGAGATAAAAGTGTCAATTATTATTTGAGCACCGTTAAAGAAATCTCCAAACTGAGCTTCCCAAATTATAAGATGGTTTGGGTTTTGGATGCTCATTCCATACTCGAACCCCAAAACGGCTTCTTCTGATAAATGACTATTGCAAACCTGGAGATAGATAACAATGTAAGGCAATTATTTGTATTGAAAATGCGACATGGTGCCGGAGAAGAGCTTTATGACCAAAAAAAGTTATATCAGTGTCTTCAGAGTCGTAGCAAGGCTTCCAAATTAGACAAATGGCGGGCGGGCAGGGGTAGGGTGGGGAGACATTTTCCCCATAAACCCATTAGGAAATAGTGTCCAACAATTTTGAAAACAATTTTAGAATAAGCAGGAACAGAAGTTTTGGAGCTTAAAAATGCCAAATGTTCCCTTGCTAACTAAGAAATAACGGCTAAAAAGCCGAAAAATGTGTATACTTGTAACCACAACATCCACTAACAAACCTCTAAGAATCCAGTTTGGTTTTCTTTGATGTTATTGATAGGAATGTATATCTCGTCTGTTTTCTGATCTACAAACATAGCATGTCTGTGACTAAATGTGCCTCGCCCAACGTCTTGCCCACTCAGACGAACATTAAAGCCTGAAACGCAAATACAGAATATTACACGGTGTCACAAAGATATGAAGTTTATTTCCGAGTGGTGAAAATATTTCACGAAGGGAACGTGTAGTCCTTTTTATTACATAGACAAATCCACACAAAAAAAGAAAACTTCATGCAACGCGCGTTAAATTCAAAGTGAGCGGGAAAACATAGGAAGTGACGTCATAGACATCTTCACGCGCGAGGATATGGAAAGTATGTCACTAAGGTCCCGGATGAAGTGTGTAGGAAAAATACGAGTGGCGTATTTTTCAGTAAGACACTAGTATCTATGTAATAAATAACAAATCTAGAGATGAGTGCCGCTTTTCTGGAAATCGAGAGTATCTTATAAGGGAAAAAGTATTTTTGAAAAGGTTCGGATACGACATTAGTAATCCAGCAAAAATCTTTAAATAAAGGAAGTCCAAATTTTTTTTGCCATCCAGTAACAATCACGTGTCAATCTATTGCAAAAGGCTGTATAATTTCTCTTCGTAGTTTTCTATTCTTACAGCGAGGTCACTGGAACAGTGAAAAACTTGTAGTTTTTAGTCACTTTTTAAATATACATACTTTAAATTATTCTTTGAACCACGGATGGGAAATAAGATAATCCCATTTGGACTTAATTTTTTCAGAGTCTTTTCTCTGTCACTTCTCGTTATCATTTATATTTATTCATTAATTGGATTCTATAAACTTAATCGAGAAAGTGAAAAACCATGCATCATTTACATAATTTTATTTATCAAAACCAAACATAATTACCTTGAAATATTAAACTTCCTATTGCCATTGCTTCAGCAGTTGCCCAATCAATAGCAGTTCCATCTTTCAGCTTATTTAGTCGAGCATCGATCTGAGTCTTCTTAAGGTGCGGATGAACGTTAAAATCTCCCGGTAATTCAACAGACTTTGAACCAATGTACATGAGAGTCTCCAACATCAAACCTTGAGAAAACAAGGTGGTTTAATCAGTAGGTCACGATACTGCCAAATCAATCGCATTCTGTGAGAGAAAGACCAAGCTCACGGTTTAGCAGTCATACGTAAACTGCTCTAAATAACAATGAAACCGTTCTCTTGTTCAAAAGTGTGGTGTAGGGATATTTTTACCGCTATAGAAACCAAAAAAGGTAGTTGTTGAAAATAGTATTTTTTTGAAGTATTTCAAAGTCAGAACAATATACCCTTACGAATGCATTGCGATGACATATACTGTATCTTATTTCGTTGTTCTACCTGTATCCCAAGATGTAACTTTATTATCATTGGCTTCAACCATCCCAGACCATAGTTTCTGTAGATGAAAAGGTTCCGGCTCAACAGCATCAATATGTTTATATTCGTCGTTGAGTATCGTGTTATAACCTGCCACATCCTCCTTGAGAACATCATGTGTTACAACACCTAGTTCCTCTAGATACTCAGCATAAGAGTCAGGAACACTCTTACGTCCACTAATGACGGAATACATGGATGGCTGAGTAAAGGAAGGGTCATCTAGCTCATTGTGTCCCCTGAAAGAATCAACATCATCATTATCATCGTGTTTGTGGTCATCGTCACTTCATATCATCTTATTTCTATCTAATAAGCACCATGATTTTATCTTTAATCGTTCTTGTTTTGGGTAGAACTTTATGACCAGTGGCTGATAAACTTGTGGACCTCAGTTGTTCCATGATCGGGGTGAAATTCAAAAAAGTTGGTTTTCGCAGAAGGAGGAAAACCGGAGAGCCCAGATAAAAACCCTCGAACCACAGGAGAGGACCAAAAGACAACTCTACTCACATACGACACCGAGTCTGGGAATCGAAACCGGTTCGCATTTGTTAGAGGCGAGCTAGCGCTCTTACCGCTACGCCAGCCGTGCTTCCCTTGAATGCCGTATCTTCACCAAACTGAAATTTAACTACTTTTCGTGATTCAATTTGCGTTTTGGAGACAATAGCATAAATTAACAACTAATTAGTTTAAAAAGTGAAACGGGGGGGG